AAAAGCCGAGCAGGTGAGTGGGAACTTGTGTTAGCTTCACCGGCTACCGCTGAAGATCCCATGTTGCCTGCTGCGTCTCCTCCCAAAGCATCTCTCCGAAATCGACTTGCAGCATGGCGGGGTGTGGACCATTCTGGGGGGGGTCAACAGGGATTTCCTGATGGGCCCAGTGCTCTTAGCGATATCTACAGGAACGTCCAACGAAACCGAATCTCTGCTGCCAAGACAACAGGGGCCCGCCCTAGTAAGTCCTTATGGGACCTCAGCCGTTTAAGCCAACTGTCTGGTTCCAGCACAACAGGCTGGGGACGAAACGGTATAGACGCCGCTGAGGAAGCTAAAGTAAGTAGTACCAATTATTTCATCCTAAGGCTACAAATATGTTCACCAAGCACTCTAGCCTGCAATGAGGCAATTGCATTCAACTCTGTGCTCTCTGTCAACCCAGCATGGCTGGCTGGGGAATTCTGGGAGTTGAAGTCCACACATCTTAAAGTTGCCACGGTTATAGAAACACTATGGTAGGCAATTTGACTAAGGCCTTGATCTTTGCCCAAAACAGGTCTGTGACAAGAGCTTTGAAATAGTTGCTTGTTCTGCAGAAACACATCTTCCAAAAATGGGATTCCTGGGCAAGGCAATGACTGAGAAACATTCTCAATAAATAAAATTAAGCTATTCTTGCATTTCCACGAGAAAGTTCAGAAACTGGAGTGGCAAATATGTTTACTAAATACTCTAGCCTGCAATGAGGAAACTGCATTCAACCCTATTTCCTCTGTTCACCAAGCTTGTATGTCTCTCAACCTTAGCAACTTTAAGATGGGTGGACTTCAACTCCTATAATTCTGGGAATTGAAGTCCACCCATCTTACAGTTGCCACGGTTGCCAAATATTGCTGTACTCAGCTTAAACCGGTATTTCTCAGACTTGACAATGAAGACATGTGTACCTCAATTCTGGAAACTGAAGTCCACAGGTCTTAAAATTGCCAAATTTGATTAACATTGGTTTAAACCACAAGCACCATAAAAATCAGATTAGGAACACAAGTTGAAACAGGGAAGAAAATGGTAAGTGAGTACCTGTCTACCCTAGACGAGTTCAAATCACCAGGACCAAATGGATTACACNATGATTAAGGCTATTACTTATAAGCAATAAATAGAAGTCAACATTGGGAAAAATTGTTTTAATGGTAAAAAATGGTTGACAATGATACTGCCTCCTTTATGAGGTAGTAAATGCTTCTCTGGTGGAGTAGCTGTTATGGTTTGGCCACATGTGGCTTAATAATATGACTACAGAAACATCTTGTCTTATGGATTTTGTCTTGTGCAAGGTGGGACAAGCTTATCTCTAAGTCTAAAACTCATCCGATTCTACGCATTGAATATGACTTAATCCGCCCTACAATTCACCAGACCCAACTGCTTTCTACTAATATTTCAAACAGAAGATCCCGATTGGGATGGGCATCAGTAAATGTTATATACCAAACTTAATTAACTAGGCCAGTTAAAGATTTTGAGTTGCATTTGCATTGTTGTTATCCTGGGTTATTTTTTTAAAAAAAATCCTTTAGTTTGCAGATAAAGCCAGATGGTCTGGGCTCGTTTCTAATTCAGTTTGTGGTTACTGGACAGGGCAAACCAAGAAATGGATGAATGCATCCTTTTTCTATGTAACTTAATGGATGCATTCACACAATACGGTTAAGCTTAAGTAGAGAACCTTGATTGTAAACAGATTAACAGTAAAATGATAGGTCCAAATCAGTATGTTTGCTTGACCTATCCTTCTCAGTGAATGCAAGATGAACTTTGCCAGATCCTGTTTCCCACAGTGGCAAATCTGATGCTTTGTGAACATTTCCCAGCATGAATAACCCTTTCAGATTGTTGTCTCCAAGCAACTGGGGTTGAAAGGTTTATTTATTTATAGTTTATTTATTAGAAGTATTTTTATACTCTTGCTTATTGCAAAGAATCTTGAAGTGGTTTATAAGTCTGTCAAATCTAAAAATGATCTAAAATGATCTAATTTTGATCTAAAAATCAAAATTAAAGGCATTCCATCAAAAATTGCTAATGGACAGAAGATGCCAACTTTAAAAACGAATGTTTAAAAGATGCCTAAAGCACATTCGTGTTAGGTTAGATGTATTGCGGAGGGAAGGCCATGCCAAAATATAGGTATACCGACAGAGACCATGATGACTTCATTTAATTGTGCTGAATTTGTAAGATTATATTTAAAAGCCATCTAGAGTAGGAATGTGCTAACTTCAATCTGTCGGATCTTTGTTCTATATTACTGGAATTCAATGAATGGTTGACCAGAGCCAGATGAAAAAGAGCTGAGTAAATTCATAGAAATTTACTTTCAATTTTAAAACTGAGGTGAGCATAAAGCCCTTGAAGACAAAACCCCATAGATCTTAATCGAAAATAGTGCAGCATTACCACAAATGATGGCATACATCCTACAAATGAATTAAGTCTTGCATACACGAAATTTCTTTGTCTAGTCTTGAATCTACTGCTTAGTCATTCCACTGAGTGTTCTGATGTGACTAGAGAAAAAGAATCGGCTTATGAGGTACCATGCATAATTTGATAAATTTTCTGTCATGCCCTCTTAATCATATTTTTTTTCATGCATGCCTTTTCCATCTCTATATTTATCTATTATCTCTTTGGACAGCAGTGATTTTGATATGGCAAAACCAATCTAGATGCAGGCAGTCCTCAACTTACAATCATTTGTTTAGCAGTTGTTTGGAGATACAATGGCACTAAAAATATGGTCCTCGCAGTTACACCCACCACAGTCATATGTACAAAATCTGAACACTTGGTCACCGACATATATTTAAGACAATTGCAGTATCTCAGAGTCATGTGACTGCCATTTGCAATCCCTTCCCAGCCAGCTTCCAACAAGCCAAGTTAACAGGGGAAGCCGGATTCACTTAATGACTGCATTATTCACTTAACAACTGCAATGAATCACTTAACCGTGGCAAAAAAAGATCATAAAATTGGACCTGACTCACTTAACAACCATCTTGCTTAGCCATGGAAATTCAGGTTTCATGGCAGTAAGTCAAGGACTACCTGTACACTGGTTAAAGAGGCAAGTCTTAGGGAGGGAGGCCCTATTGAGACGGTCCATCCTAAGTAACTAATGACTTCGATTGGGCTTCAGAGAGAATTTGGGGATGTTTCTTCTGGATATGGTAGGCCACTGTTTCTCAACCTTAGCCCCTTTAAGATGTGTGGACTTCAACTCCCAGAATTCCCCAGCCAGCCATGCTGGATTGAAGTCCACACATCTTAAAGCAGCCAAGGTTGAGAAACCTATAGTAGGCAATTTGACTAAGGTGTGGACTGTGGACAAGGGCCTTGGATTACATTACTCTTTTTCTGAAGAATTTTAGATGATAAAACAGCAGGAGAAATGCTGTTGGAGAAAGACAAAGAGCAAAGCCAACCAAGCACATGTAAGAGCCCAAACTCAACCCTGACTCGGCCATGTGGCTGTGGGTACTTGGTTCTTCTTGTGCCAGTGATTTCTATCCTTTCAGAGATGGTGTTGTAGTCCTTCTGAACTCACAGTCCCTGCTCCATGAACACCTAGCACCTGTAGTAAAGACAACCTTTGGAAAAATTCATCTGGTTCACTAACTGTGCTCCTTCCTGGTTTGGAAATCTCCTCTCACAGTCTTTCATGCTTTGGCCATTTGACACGTAGACTACTGCATAATTGTGGTTACATTTGAAGATTTCTTGGAAGCCAAGCCGGACTAAAATACAGCAATCTCGGCAGTTATGAGTAAGTGTTTTGTTACTCATAAGTCCGTTATACCTCTGTTATGTGAGCTGTACTGATTACCAGTGAGTGCAATCTAAGGTGCTAATTATCCCCTATAGAGTCTTTCATTTCAAAGGGCTGAGTAAATTCATAAGAATTTACTTTCAATTTTAAAACTGAGGTGAGGAACTGTCTATCTCCTGTCATGTCTGCCTGTCCTATAACAGAGGGTTCTCAATCCCACCCCTCCCCCAGACAGAGGAAGAATTGTATTTTAAAACTTACAAAATTGTGTTAATACAGTTTTGCAATAAAGTAGAATCCGCTCATCTGGTTGTGATTTCTATCTGGCTTATCCTGCAAGGATAAATCTTGCAAGTCTGAGAGTACAATTCTTGCCCCGTCCCAATCTCCTTTCCAACTTGAGAAACTAGGGCTGCAAGTGCAAGGATTGGTCATAAGTCATTTATTTCAGTGTTATTTTAACTTCAAACAGTCACTAAACAAATGGCTATAAGTCAAGGACTATCTGTACAGAGGTGAACAAAAAGGCTTCAGTCAAAGTTCTTCCCATTTTTGTGTGGCTCACAGATAAAGAGAAGGCAGGACTTTGATTGCATCTTCATGGCTGCCATCTTGACTTTTTTGACCATCCTGCACAAACATATCTTCCAAAAATGGCCTTCCTGGGCAATGATTGAGAACCATTCATGGCAAATAAAATTAAGCTATTCTTTTATTTCCACAAGAAAGTTCAGAAACTGAAGTCACTAGGATGCATATAGTCAAAATTATCTTTTTTTCCCCAACAGCTTCACCTGGACTGATGCTCGCTTGAACCGCCACCTGGTCACTCGCCTTACGGGAGAAGTGACTGAAGCCTTTGACCAGGAATTTCGTACTTTGTATGCGGCTTCCTGCCCCCTGCCAGCCCTGGAGATGCCCCCTCATCTCCCGCTTGCTTCTGTGGCACCACTACCTAGCACCAACGAGCCAGATGTGGCTCCGTATGTCAGTGTGTTGGATGGGGTGCAGCTATCCCACCGAATTGCAGAGCGACGCTCGGTGGCCCCCCAACCTGTGGCCAAAAGCCGAGCAGGT